TGTAGTGGGGAGGTGACTGTTCCACTATTCCTTGAGACGGAGCTGGAAAACTAGGAAGAAGTTTTGAGGAAAGAGCTGGATTCAGCTCTAGAGTCCTTCAACCACTAATGAACTATAGATTATTCTCTGCTCTCCCCTACAATGTATGTGGTGTTTTTTTGCTAATAAAAAATAAAGCTTATTTGAAAGGATAAGAAAGAATTAATAAAGGTCTGATGGCCTTTAAGGGAAGATGGGCCAAGATGGGTCTTGTGGGGAAATGCCCTTTCCAGACTCAGGACATATCCCTGAAGTCTGCAGAGTCAACAGTCTAGCTGGAGCTAAGAAACTGAAATGTCAATTCTTTGGCCTCTGAAGATTGCAGACACAAAGCAGGATGAATGAGGGTGGGTTTCTTTTTCCTTTTCACTAGTGAAATACACTGTTAGAGTAAATTCCTAGGTGATAGAGACTTCATTATACCCTTGTGCTATTTGTGCCTATACTGTGGCTATACATTTTCTTGAAATAGGTCTTTGTCAGGAACCTAAACTCAACTGACTGGGAGAGCTTACTGAAATCTGAATGATGTACTACTGAATACATTCAGACTCTGTAACTGGTGTCCTGAAGGTCAGTTTATATAGCAAACCTGGAACCTTCTCGCCTAGAGAAGGTAGACTCTGACATTGCCTGTTTCTTTTGCCTGTTAATTTCCACATCTACTCCTCAGCAAAACAGAGTATGTCTGGCTTATGCAGTTTGTCTGCAAGCTGAGCACGTGTTCTCAGGCAAATGTGTATCTTTGCTTGACTTTAACTTCTCAGTGTATGTCCTTACCCCTGTTAGCTGAAGCTGCTCTTCAGCTTCATGCAGTCACATTCCTCATCTGCACTGGCTCATTGGTATGTCTCATAAGACATTTAATTTTCAATTTAGCGTATTTTTGACAGTTTGGGCAGAGTTTGTGAGCTTAAGAACCAGGAGGAGGCACAGGGTATCACTGTGCTGCTCTGCACAGCTGAAAGCTCTGGGCATTTCCATCAGGCCTTTTTTCTGAGGGTGGGTTGCAGAGTTATTTAGATACCTCATATCATGTAGAGGAATTGTACCATGTAGCTTGTACTGAAAATGCTGGTTTGGGTCTACCATGGCCTCAATTAGCAGGGTGCAGTTTGGGGCCCTGGATAGTCCTGAGGCAAAACCACCATCTTGCTGGAGAAGGCCTGTTCAAAGGAACTCCTGAGGTAAACAGAAATACTGATTAATGCTGGTCACTTTAATCACTGCAAGTGGAGGTGACTGCTGCATGGTAGGGTATAAATGTTCCTTCTCTCCTGGAGCTGGTCGCTAGGAGCCGTTTCAAGGGGTGTCGTGCAGTCTGAAGTAACGCTTCATCTCTTCGCCTTGTTTACAGACATCCTAAAGCTCCCTCTTTCTCTGGCATATTCCAATCAGCTCTTTTAGCTTCAGTAATCACAAATTTTGCAACAGAAGTCTAAAACAGCTATGAATTTTTTTTCCCCTTCCCCCCCCACTCTTTACCTCCCTCCACTTAAATTTGACTGAATTAAAAAGAAAAAAGTTCTCCCTGCTAATGTTTGTATACCTACCAAATCCAGGAGAGGGAGGGGGAAAAATAAATAAGATGTGTTGATATATTACTTTTCTCAATATATAAGGGTCAGGAAATTTGGAAGCCTTACAGAGAAACTCAGTTTCATATCCTCATGAGTAAATCAAAGCTTTAGAGTGTAGATATTTTGCAGAAAATTCAATTCTAAATTCTGCAGGGAAACAGCAGGTTGGGCAACTGAGTTATAGATTATTATCCCATGGATTTCACAAATCTATCCAGTTACTGCATTGAGAGAGAGAGACTTAGACTGAAAGCCTTTCTAGAGGAGGGATCATTGTTAAAGATCTGAAGCACTATTAAACTTTTAAAATACTTTTTTATATAGTTAAACAATTTATTTGCTTGATGTCTACACTGGGGAAATAAACAGCAGACCTTAAAGGAACTGGAGACAAGAATAGTTTTTAATGGCTGTTCTTTATTCCACACTTAAAGTAAAAAGAACTTAACTGAGCTTTTTAAAGCAATTTGTTCCTATCTGGGGCCTGGAATGTAGTGATACTGCAGAAACTCTTCTTTGTGAGGCTAAAAAAGCCAAAATTTGTGTGAAACTGATAGGAGCTTTGAAGAGGTTTGCAGAGGAGAGAAGCGTTGCAGTCATATAGTTAGTTTAAATGTTAAGCTCTTGTTTTGCAAGCTCTCAGCCTTTGTAGGACAGGCTGTGAAGATAAGCTGTGAGTTTTTGGAGGTGAGCGGGTAAAAAATAAAGCAGGGCTTAGTAGTGCTGCTGCGTTCGTGCCCCTTCCTGGACACTGGAGGGAGGAAACCTTGGGCCAGAGCTGGAAGCTGGCAGTGATTGTGTCAGTTCCCTTGCTGATAAGTGATTTTCATCCAGCCGCATGATTATCTAGTATTAAATTAGCCTTCATTTATTTAATTGGATGCAGTCATAGCAGAGAAGTAAGGCATAGATGCTCTTCAGTGATATGGAGTTGGCAGTCAGGGGAAGATTCGGTCAACGTGCGTCTGTCCTCTCATATCCTTATTTGAGGACTAGAATGAAAGTCAGATCTGTGGTAATTCTTGATGGAGGCTTCTCCCTGGTACTAATTATAGATGGGTGCGGGTGACCTCAGTAGAGGCTGAGGCAGCTGGCTAAGAGCACAGATCTGGGTTTTTTCAATTAATTGACTTTGGTTCCTCATATGGTACTGTTAAAATAACTGTTCTGCCTTCCTGCTCCCTTATGATATTGCTAGTGACCACAAATAAACTTGATCAGGGAACTGATTCTACTGCAGATCAATTAAATCTCGTCTTATCAATTCAGTTAATCTTCAAGTGGGTCCAACTTGGGGAGTTACTGCAGGAGCATCAGTGCTGGGATAGGGATGTGTGGTTAGGCAGGGGGAGTAACTGCCCCTCTTGCCAACAGTCCTATTAAAATAAGCATAGATCTGTTAAGTTGCTTTTAATGCTTGGGTCTCTTGGCATGATAACATCTGTTTCCTTTCTCTTAAGAGCTAAGTACCTTATTGCCAAAGGTGTTTGACTCTCTCAGGCCCTGCATTTCTCATCCTTCAGGAGGCCTGACCAGACTTTATTTTATATGTTTTCTTTAAAGAGAGGCAGAATACAAATGTAGCAAGAAGCTTAACTCAGTAAGCAGTGTAGGAATAATGAAACTTGCTTACTGCTGTTCAGGCTCTGAACAGTTAGGAATGCTGTTTGCTCACTGTTTCCAGTTCCTCTTCTTCCCTTTGGCTTGGAAAAGCAAGGGGGAAAATAGCTTTATTTTATCACATTCAGAAAGATATTCTATGTTTCTCTTAGAAAAAAAAACAAGTCTTTCTTGCTCATATTCCTGTGCTAATACAAGTGGGAACACTCTTAATGGCTAAAACGATGTACAGTCAAAGCCTGCTCTGAAATGCAGAAGGGCAAAATTTTAGGAAAATCCATCAGTTAAGACTGACTGAGGAAACGTAGGAGTCATCCAGATGTTTTGGTCCAGGGAATCATCTTAAATGTTTTTAGCAAAAGACGCCAGATTGTCTTTTCGTGAGTTTACCAGTTGATCCATAGTAGAGCCCATGCAGCCAGGGCGAACTAATCCAGCCAACCCAGTAGACAGAGTATGAGGACTGTCTGTGCCTGGGTTCTTTTCTTTTTAGTTCCTCCCCATACATGTAATAACTTCTTGCCAAATATTTTTTGGCAAGATGGATTCAACTGCTCTGAAGTTGTCTTTGATGTGTCATTCCTAGGACCTGTCTGCATCGCTTGCTCTGTGTTCAGTTTTAGAAGACTTGAATATGGGTTTCCCTTGACTGAAGCAGAAGAAATTTCTCTGAGGCAGAGTCAGTAGAATGTATGTCATGAAATTCAGGATTGAATTTCTCGATATTGTAAGAATCCAAGTAATTTCTATTCAGTATCAGCTCTAAGCACAACCTGAAATGTTGTCTGTAGCATGAGCTGTCAGCCTGTTCTTTCACCTGCAACAGGAGGGTGTAGGGAGTGACTGTTGCCCCAGGAGGCTGCTTGGGGATTGAAAAAGGCTGACGAGCAGGAAAGACAGGGCAACACGAGAAGAGAAATCAGATTTTCAGGGCAGCCTATGGGAGGGGAATACCAAAAATAGTTGTGGCTAGAAATAGGCTTTTCCTTATCCAAAAAGTGACAGTAAATAGTTAGGGCTCATTACTTGCACAAAGCCTCTGCTCTGTGTGTCTGTCAGTCCTCTCATTAGTCCCAGCTGAAGAACTTAAAGAGTATAATGCTCTGCCTCATTTTTTTTTTTTTTTTTTTTTTTGCCTCCTTTTAAAACTCTGGTCTGCCACAAATTACAGTTCATTGTGGAATATATCTCTCTATCAATGTGAGAACACTTCAGCTGTTTAGCAGCTGATTTCCATCCTGTGTGATACACATTAAACTAGCTCCTAATGTAGATTTATTAGTCTTTTTTTTTAACTTAAGACTTTGCAAAAGACGATTATGAAGATTATTGCATAACTTGCTCACTTTTGGATGAACAGATAACTTTGAACAGATGTTTTACTGAAGGAGTTAAATGTAAAAAAAGATGCACATAATTTTGTATCTTTAAGTGGAGGGGAAATTTAAATATCTGTAGGAGAGGGATTAGATGCTCCACTTCATATTTAATCACACTTATTATCTTTAAATTACTTTTAATGCAAGTAATTAAGGAACTTTTTAAGAGAGCTAGGGACCAATAATTTGAGTGTAATGTGTACTTTGGGATGCTCAACAAAAAGGGTCTTAATTTGTGACTAGGATAAATGTTGTATAATTTGCGAGGAAACTTTTCTGCTTTGTGACTGTTTCAACGCTGTGTATACTGACATAAATTTATAAGGACAAATGGCAGAGTGTGTTAATATGGCATTTTGTATTTTTGTTTTCTTTTTTTTAGACCTATTCAGGGCTGTTCTGTGTAGTCATAAACCCCTACAAGAACCTCCCAATTTATTCAGAAAACATTATCGAGATGTACAGAGGGAAGAAGCGCCATGAAATGCCACCGCACATTTATGCAATATCTGAGTCTGCGTACAGATGCATGCTGCAAGGTAAGAATTTGTTATATGTTACTTACTGTCAGTAAACAGCTATATGAGGACATTGTTATCCAACTGCATAGTTTCTGACCTAATCCGAATCCCTTTCTAACACTTAAGAGGAAGATATTTTCTCATTTAGAATCCTAAACTTCTACATAGGAATAAATTAGACTTTCAACCCTGTTGCCGTGTTTCTGGCTTGGTGTTAGTTTGCTTTTGTGGCTCTGCAATAGGCAGTGTAGTGTGCCCGTTGGTGACACTGACAGCTGTAGTAGAAATATTTCTTTAAAATATTTCTTTAAAATAGGTGAGTTTGATGTCAGAAGATGTTAACGTACTACAGGACAGTTGCTTTTGATGAGCCACAAACAAAGGACTGATTGAAAGGGGAAAGCTCATAGGCCACCACATTAATGAGTGTCTTCTAAACTTCTGCAGTGACAAAATATCAACACTTTATTATACTTTATTTCTATTAGGAGACAACTACAGTGTGGTATGTTGGAGTTCAAAAGGAAGTCAGCTGAGTTTTTAACCTTGATGATAGGTGTTTTTAACCTCCCCTCCCTTTAGGTTGTAGGTCAGCTCCAGAATAGAAAAGAAAGCACTTTATAGTGGTTGCAGATTTCTCTGTAAGGCTGAGCTGGAAGAGTATCAAAATGTGAACTTAGTGTTGTATTAAGCACAAGGTGTTTGGCTTGCAAAATTGCACTTCTAATATAGCAGGTTAGAAAGCTGGCATTACCCAGTATTGGTTTATATTTAGGCAGCTGTTTACCCCAAGGGTATATTAATGATCCAGAAATACCAGCATGCTTTATCTAGAGGAGTTTGTGTCGAAAAGGCAAATCTGAAAAGCTTTCCGTGTTTTCTGTTGTAGAGCTGGCATGGTTATGCTGGAAGTGGGTTAAAAGCTATTTGACCTAGTTCCCACAAACTAAGAAAACATTGTTTGTACTACCAGGTTAACGAACCATTTACATGTAAATCTTTTTAAAATGACATTTCTTGTGAAAGAAAAACTATGGCCTTCTTGACCACAACAACAGCCTGTGACAGCTCAGGTGAAAGGACACCTAATAGCACACCTCTTGGGAAGAATAGAGCTAATTTAGTGGTTATCTTGAATTTTTTCTAGCTGTCTCTAATAGTTAATAGGTAAGGGCTTCTCACACTAAAAGCCCAATCTCCCTTGAAACTGTAGGTTCTTAAGAGAGAAATATATTGTGGTAAAGTAAATTTATGTCAGTAGTTCTGAAACTTCAGGTGCTGTGATTACTTGTTCATGGATCATGCTAGCACTGATTTCTGCCTCCAAAGATCCTGCTACCCATACAGATTTTAGTGGATTTTTGAAGGCGAGATGATTCTTTTTACCCAAGATAGTACGTATTTGGTTACTACTTTATTTTCTTTCTATATAATGAAATACGATATTTTATATTTTATATCAAGTTTTTATTCCTGTCTCTCTGTGCTTTCTTTTTGATTGCAATTTTTTTTTGCTTGAAAGAGTGAAGCCTTAGATTGGCATAAGAATAGCTGAAAACAATGCAACAGGATCAATTTATGGTGGAATAATTCCTTGGGGGTTCACTAAAGCTGTGTCTCTGTAGTATCCTGGGCCTGTATGGAGCTATTCCTTGTTTATTTAAGCAAGTGACTGCAACTGGTGTCAGCTCCTGAACCTTCCATTGATGCTTTGCCTTCCCGATTATGTTGCCAAAGAAAAGTAACAATTCAAGAACAGGCATTAGCAGTTTTGCACTTGGCAAATATTTTACTTAGCAAACTGTTTTTGACGGGTCAGATCGGGTCGGAGGAAGAGAACTGCAGAGAATGGGAAAAACAACTGCAGAGAATGGGACAAACAACATTTCCTCTGTTTTTTTTTCATGGACTCTAAAGCTGTTTTGAGGCATGACTTAAGGAAAAAGGTGATATGCAGACTTCTTTTGGAGACACGTTTGCCTGGTGTAGGTAACCCTCAGTGTTGTTAGACTGTGCATTTCCCTTAGCTTTATGTAGTCGTGGGGAGCAGTGAATTGGCACAATGAGGAAGAATAGTAGAAAGAATTGTTTTTTTCTTTTTTTTCCTGTGAGTAGCTCTAAAAGATTTAAGTTGATAGACAAAACATCACTAATCTGTTGATGAGAGGTCAAGTTTTAAGCATTCTTTATGCATGTGCTAGAGTTTTCATCTTAAACTAACAAAACTGTGTTAGAAAACTTCAGTTTCAGTTCAGTAGAAGTAAGTCTCTGTAGCCATGAGAACTGTTTTAATCAAAACATTTCACTTAAGTCATCAGAGCTGCTGATAGCACTGGTGTATTTGAAACACAATCCTTGCACCCTGCATTCAGTCACTAATATATGTAGTTATAATTACAGAATTGTTTTTCTATAGTAGACACGTAAATTCTTGCATGCAGTTTCTTTGGGAGGTGAAGATGGCGTGGTAGAGTAGAGCAGGGATGAACTGCTTTCAAGTGTTACTGAAAAACATGGTTTTACTATTCTAGAGTAGTTATAGTTTTCTTTTGATTTGAATGGCTTTTGTCTTCTCGGTATTTACATAAAGAGCTTAAGATTCAAAACTGGCATTGAAGCCATAAGAATGCACTTGCTTTGTATAGTGTGACCAGGCTTTTATAGAAATATCTCGACCACTAATGTAGGTCAGGGAAAGCAATTTGCTCTGTTTTCCTGACTTGCTCTGTCGTGTTTTGTTCCATTTACTCACGTTGTGAACTGCTGATTTTCTGGGTGTTTGAGACCTGTGTTCACTGGTTAAACTGGCTACCTGGAGCCAAGCTGTCACTCTGAAGTTTCTTAAAAGGCAATTTTCTGTGCTGATTATCAAGCACAAGGAGTAAACGGTTGCTCAGTATTTTAATGCTTTTACATCGGAGCACAAATCACTAGAGATCAACTTCAAGCTAGTCAAAAGCTTCAGACATTTGAAAGAATATTTGAGCCTAAACAGCAAAATGCAAATTTGTTGTTTAGAGCATTGAAGCAAAAAGGTGTTTTTTTTTTTTTTGTTTGTTTGTTTTTTTTTCAGGAATAGGGGGAAAGCATGCACATCTGAATATCATTTATTATCTTAAATGTTGCTGGAAATAGTTGATTTTGTTAAGCTGATAATACAAACCGAGCAGCACATCACAATGCGGCCTCTGTTGCAGAGGTTGTCCAGAAGCGTTGCAGGCTGCCTGCCTTCAAGTTGCTCCTCTGTTCTTATCCCCTCCGTGAGTTTCCTGTTTGGGGTGACCTTAAGCACCGCAGTCTCTGCAGATCAGCTCTCACTGTGCCCTTTAGCAAAAGAGAATAGGCTGAAGCCTGTTTCAGTACTTGTTAAAAATGGAGGAGGAGGAAGGGGGAGAAAATAGCCAAAAGAATGCAGAAAATGTGTTCAGGCTTGCTAGTTTTGAAAGGAAGTAGTATTCTGCAGAGATACGTGCTGATTTGATGCAAGCTGTTGCAGCAAAGAGGGAGCTGGAGGATTTTTTTAATGGCAAACATGCACGTTGCTGATGAGAGCTCCGTGGCGCAGACGTGATGCACTGGGGAACCAGGCGAATCCCAAAAGCAAACCCCATACATTGTTGGGTTTCATAAAAGCATTGCTTTTTCCTGCAAATTTTGTAATAAAGATTTAGTGTAAACACAGGCTATTAAAAACCAGCAGGATTTTGGATGCATTATGATTATGATGGTCTGGATTTTGCTTCTGGGACGGACTCCTTCCCTAGTGTCTTGACTTCCCGCAGCAGTAACGTGCAACTCTGCTCTACCTGCTGGATATCCCCTCTCTGCCCCGGCTAATGTCTGGCAGGGTAAGTTAGTTCCCAGTCAGTTTAACATATTTCTCCTATGTGCTTTCCATTAATGTAATTTTGAAACTACAGGTGCACAAAACTTGGTTTTCTAGGTTTGTTGGAAATTTTTAGCCCAAACAGAAATCAAATGCGTGAGTACATAGAGCTGGAGGTGGTTTGTTTCACAAGAAATCTAGACTGAGCTTCTCAAAGCTGCTGGACAGTTGACATGGTCATAAGAAATCGGTGTCCTAATCCCTGTGACAGCAATGACCTTAATTCTGTTGGATAATACAATTTGTAAAACTTGCTGGCATTTTTTTCTTTTTGTCCTGCTAAAATTATGGCTAATAGGAAACAATTTGGCAGCAACTAGGATTTTCTTTGTTCATACATGAACTGCTGGAGTTACCAGATTTAGTTTTCTAATCATCTTTATTTTACTTGAAATGGAGTCTTTTCTGATTGCGTGAAGGCAGCACTAGCACGAATGTTCCCTGGTGCTTTTGCCACACATTGATTCCTCTGCCCTGCCTTCCCTTCTGCTTTATTTTTGAAGAAAGTATTCTATTATTATGTCTCCTCACTGACTCTTAAAAATGTGTCTAGGGAAATATTAAGAAAAACTTTTTTTGCTTTTGGTTGCCAAAGGCCTCCTCCATGCTACTATTACTCTTGTATAACGGCTCTTAGTCTTTCTTTTCTATCCTGTTCCCTGAAGACATCTTGATGAGCACTAAATTAGCACTGATATTTTAGGACTGCCTTTAATCCTGTTGCAGCAAAGGTTTATCGGAAATGGGGTAATACATGAAGTCAGCACTTGGTCTTGGTGAAGCCACTACTGCCTGCAGAAGCAATCCTTGTGCCTTAGAAATACCTACATTTCTGCTTAATCTTGATTTGAATCCTTGCTTTAGGAAAGGGAGTTTTTCTCCTGAAGATATGGAAGAGAAGAATTAAAGCTGAAATATGGCAATGCTTTTCTGTAAAGGACTGCTAAATATTCACATGGAAAGGGTTAGGGGGAAAGCGTGAGACTGGGAAAGGCCTGGCAGTGATAACTAGCATTTTTTGGTGTTATGTAAAGAATACATAAACCTAATATTTATGCAATTAGTATTCTCAATATTTTCATTATAAATTTTTTTTGACCTACCAAAACATTTCCCAAAGCTTTGCAGCTTG